GAGGAGGCCAGGAGGTCCGGGAACCATGGTTGGCTCTGCCACAAGGGCGCTATGACAACCAGTTTGATCTGTTGCGTCCGTATCTGGTGTAGTGTTCTCGCAATCATGGAGAATGGGGAAAAAGCGTAGGCTCCTGTCGACGGCCATTGTTGGAGAAATGCGTCTGTCGCCTTGCTCTCCGGGAGCCAGCTGAAGAACTCCGGGGTCTGGTGATTGTTGCGAGAGGCAAACAGATCCAGGTGAAAGGGACCCCTCCGGGCTGCAAGGGCCCTGAAGATTCTCGTGTTTAGCTTCCAGTCGCTGACGTCTCTCCAGTGGCGAGAGAACCAGTCGGCTGTGAGATTGATTTCTCCTGGCAAGTATTCTGCCTGTAGCGTGATGTTGCGAGGGAGGCAATAGTCGAAAATGCCTTTCGTGATATCCGACAGCAGGCGAGAGCGAGCGCCTCCCAGGCGGTTGATGTACTGGACTGCGGATACATTGTCCATGCGCAGGAGGATGCAGCAGTTGGATCTTTCCCGGGCCAAGCTGCGAATCGCGAAGGATCCTGCCAGGAGTTCGAGGCAATTGATGTGCATGGAGAGCTCCTGCGTCGTCCATGTTCCCCCCGTGGAGATGGTTCCGTTGGTGGCACCCCATCCCCACAGGCTGGCGTCTGATTCCAGTACGAAGTCTGGAGCGTCTCCGAATATGGCCCTGCCGTTCCAGGCTTGCATACTGTCCAGCCACCACGATAGTTCCTCGCGAACCTCCATCGTCACCGGGACGGGTTGGTCGTAAGTAGGCTTGCGGCGTAGGTATTTCGCCTTGAGACGTTGCATGGCCCTGTAGTGGAGGGGACCCGGAAATATGGCCTGAATGGAGGCAGAGAGGAGTCCTACAATCCTGGCCAGATTGCGTAGTGGAATGGAGTCGAGACGAAGAACCCTGCGAATCTCCTTGCGAATGGCTGTGATCTTTGAGGCTGGTAGCCTCAGAGTGCAAGTTGTCGAGTCGATCTCGAAGCCGAGGAATTGTATCGTCTGGGTAGGGGTCAGCTCCGATTTCTGTTGGTTTACCACGAAACCCAAAGACTCCAGTAGGGACACTGCCAGGTGAGTGTGTTGGCGTAGTCTGTGTTCGTCGGCGCAGAAGATGAGGAGATCGTCTAAGTAGATGATGCATCGAATGCCCCTTGATCTTAGGTGGGCCACCACTGGTTTTAGGAGTTTGGTGAAGCACCATGGGGCTGAGCTGAGCCCGAAAGGGAGGCAAGTGAATTGCCAAGGGCGTCCGTGCCAGAGGAAACGTAGGAGTGCTCGACAGTCCGGGTGTACCGGGACTGACAGATATGCGTCCTTTAGATCGAGCCTGGTGAACCAGTCGTTGCTTCGAAGAAGGTCTCGCAGGAGGTGGATGCCTTCCATCTTGAAGTGGCGGTAGACCACATATGCGTTGAGGGCGCGTAGATTGATGACGGGGCGGTATTCTCCCGACTTTTTCCGAACCAGGAAGATGTTGCTGAAGTAACCACCCCCGTCGCGGACCGGCTGGATAGCCCCTTTGTCTCGGAGCTCGCGTAGCTCCGCGTTGACGAGGTTGTGGTCGGAGGAAGACATGTGGATGGGGGGAGGGGGCTGAACCTGAGAGGGGTTCCCCACTAGGTCTATAATATATCCCTGTACAGTTTGTAGGATCCATGTGTCTGAGCATAGGGCGGCCCAATTCTGGAAAGAAAGGGAAATACGGCCCGCAGTGCGGGTACATGGTAACAGTGGAGGAATGTGGGTCCTTACCTGCAGCAAAGCGGGAACGTCCGCGTCCGCGGGGTCCACGACCTCTATCCGAGCCTCTGGAAAAGGGTTGTTGCCGGTAGTCTCTTGTCGGGTAAAACGGTGTTGGTTGGGTGCGGGGGCCTGAAGGCCAAAATCGGCTGGCGGCACGGCCCCGTTGCCGGCCAGCCCTTCCAAAAACCCCTCTGGTAGGGTTGCTTCTGAACACTCTGCGCATTGAGGACTGCGCCTTGTTAAGGGAGGTGAACACGTTCACGTGTTTGTTGAGTTCCTTGAGGAACGGTTCGCCAAATAATTTCCCTTGTGCCTGGGGCCCAATCTCCTTTGTGCCAAGGTCTGCCAGTTTGCCGTTAATACGGTACAACGCTGCTTTTCTTCTCTCCGAAGAGAGCGTAACATTAGTGTTTCCGATGAAACAAAAACACCGTTGTGCCCACTCACGAACATCATGTGCCCATTCCCTGATGTCCTCAGCGGAGAAGGAATCGGCTTTGGTGTAGGCATCATCCGCCAAATACATAATGCGAGCCAGGGGGCCTACAGAATCCAGCAGGTTATCTTGGGCGCCCCATAGGCCTTTCTCCACCCCTCGGCGAGGGTCTCTACCACTGCGCATCATGAAGGTTGACATAACCTTGTCGAATTCCGGGGTCTGCGCGACCTTATCCGGCAGGGAAGGGCGTGGGCATTCGGACCTGAGTCGGCTGCGGACCTCTTTCTCCAGAGGTTTGCGGAGCCACAGGTGCATAAACCTAGAAAGGTGTTCAGGAGGCGACCAGTCACCCGACCTGGGGTGCCGAATGTTGCGGGGGTCGAACATCACTTGGCCTGAGGGGTCCAAGATGGTGTCTGAATCAAGAGGAGGTTCTGCGTCCGCAGTGTCCTCGACACCTCCTGTCTGGGCCGCACCCAGGAGAGTCTCTCGCATGAAAGCGGAGACAGATTTCTCGTCCGAACCCCATGCGTCGTAGTCCGAGTCAGAGGCGTCAGCTTGCCATTCATCCAGCACTGACATGGACTGGGCTTCTTGCTCTTCGTCAGAAGAGTACTCCTGACGCGGGGCCGGGGTGTGTAATTTGGCAGACTTGTGCTTGGCAGGTGCCTTACCCTTAGTTGGTTTGGGTGTGCAATCTTCGCCTTTGTCATGGCGCTTTTTAGGGCGGGAATCCTCCCGTGCCTGGTGGTCGGACAATTCAGATTCCGACTCGTGGCGTGGACGTCTGCGTTTAGGTACGTCAGGAGCCGAAGCTCGGGCCTTGGAGAGTGCCTTCTCCACAGAGGCAGCGACAGCTGCGTTAATCATGGCCTGGAAGTCCACAGGGACATTCTGGGAATCTTCCATGGTAGGGTAGGCTATAAGTTATTGAAAGGCACAGTAATAAACAGGCACCCAGGTCTTGGTAGTAGGCGTAGGGTCAGATTTGGAAGTATTGTGGGAGCAAGCCCAGAATAACCCCAGCAGGGTATAGTAGTGACCTTATAAACTGGGGCTCACCCAGTTAGAGAGAACTGCAACAGCTAGTCTCCCAGTAAGCAGCGTCTTTATAGTGGGGGCTCACCCCGGTTGCACAGGGTTGGGACCCTTAAGTGCAGGTCACAGTAATAATAAACAGGCAGCAGCACTGACCTGACTGACCCAGCCACAGGATAGCTTGATAGAAGCAGATGAGGCACAGACTGAGTAGCAGGTTGAAAGCAGCAGATGGGGTGCTTGAGTAGATAATCCTATAGTCACAGATGGTGTCAGACACAAAAGGTGAGGAAAACAGCAGTTTCAGAGGTACCAGCAAGCTAGCACAGCCACACTGAGTCCCTAATGAGATGCACGAGGCAAAACTAAGATGGCCGCGAGAATCTCGCGATGTCCGCGATCCAAAATGGCGGCCGCGAGGTAGGCCGCAAGCCGGGGACTAAATTTTGAGGCCGGCCGCGGATGGAAGCGGGCCGGCGCGAAAACGGCCGCGAATGAAACCGGCCGCAAGGAGGGAGCCCAGGAGGGCACTCCAAGGAAGGGGGGCAGTGGGGGAACCCGGGGGGACCAAGGGGAAGCCAAGGGAGGGTCCCAGGAGGTATAGAGGGGCAAATAGGGGCAGAAAAGACCCACAGAGAGCCCCTAGTCCCACAGCCCTGATGAAGATAAGAAATAGAAATAAAGGATGTAAATAAAGTGAGAAAATATGTTTGAAATATATATATGGAACAAACAAGAAATGACAATAAATGTAGAAAGCTCCAGGGGAGCAAATATTCTGACCTGTCTGCGATGGAGCAGTAAAGAAAGAGGAAGTGTACAGGCAGCATGACCCTTATATACTATGCTGCTCAGTGATTTATTTGTTACTCTTTACGTTTTCTTTACTGCTGTGGAGTTTAGTAAAGAGAGTTAATGCAAAATAGGAAGCCTCCTGTCATGTTATAAAATTGTACACAAATAGCTAGGGTTTGGGTAGCTAAACAAAGTTTATAAAAAGTATCAAAATCCAAACACCTTAACATGTGCAAAAACCCATTTCAAGTTGCTGAAAAGATAGACGCATTGCTGCCTATGTGTCTACCTGAGTATTTCTTACTTAGGAAAAAAATACTCTGCAAGTCCTTAAAACAAGCTTTGCTTGAGGATAGGGTGCTAATAAAGTCATTAAAGGGAAAGTCAAAATAGAAACAAAGGCGTTGGCCTAAAAAAAAAAAACAAACAAAAAAAGGATTTATTTAGCAGCCTATCACATACAATCCGGTGGAAGTATTTTTGTCTTGTTTTTCTTAATATGTGTGTTCTGCCCTGACTTCAACATGTTGCTGCTGTGATAACCATCATCTGTAAAACTTTTGTTATAGTTATGGGTAAAGCTACAAGGATGACCACATACACTGGTGTTGCAAATATTTTGGTAGTTGCTTTGTCTGTTCTCATATCTACAAATTACTTGGTACAGAAGTTAAGAATGAGGTGAGCCTGTGAGAAAGGATATCTAGGACACAGTGGAAGAGCAGCAGCTGATGCAGAACAAATACAATGGAAGAAACAGGACAGAAAAACTAAAATGAATATGACCACTTATGTGAGTAACAGTGATTTCATGGCATATTTGCTTTACCTTCTTTACTGAAAACCTCCAGCAGCAAAGAGATAGTTAACTTTTCCAAACATCCAATCAGAACAAAATAACAGCAGTGTAAAATCCCTCACTCATACCCTCCCACTTCCTCTTTCTTTGCTGCTGCCTCCAGGTGAGCACTGTCCAACTCAGTGTGTCTGCTCTGGGTTCTGTTGTGTATTTAATTGCATAAAGATAAAGAAGATGCTGCCTGCCAAGTTAACCAAGATGAGTACCAGCCCGACAACTCGGGTGCCGCATCCCCCAGTGAGGTTTTTTCTCAGCGGCCATTCCCACTTAGTGAGGGAGACGGTGTTGGACTCTCCCCTGAATGATCACCAACGGACCCGCCAACCACTGCTGACAACCCGGTGAGATCCTGGATCTTTCCATCCCTCCCATCTTTGATTCACCGATTCATTAAACACCCTTGTTCCTCGTAATGGGCTCCTCCGGTCCGCATTGCAGAACTCTTGCGCCCCTAGGATAAGGAGATCAGAGTGGAGCTTCGGGCGAAATCCCCCCACCCCACGTTTTCTAACAAAGTCGCTCTTTCGCCTGATTTCGACCCGGCGTTTGCCAGCTTCATGAATAAGTACGGAAAAGAACTGAAACAGGGTCTACGCTGTGCCCAGGGCAGACTGTGGGATGTCAGTGGCACAATGACACAGATGTTCCTCATGGCGGATGCCGCTCTACAAAGTGGAACACCGGTGGATGCTACATCTCCTACGAGAATGGGCCAACTGTTTCTTTATAAGGAAATGCCATTGTGGCCATCTCCTCAGTGTCTTGCTCTGCGAGGGTGATTGGTTCTCTCGACTGGATCTGAGGTAAGCCTACCGCATGGTCCTGATCCATCTGCTTCAGGACCTGGAATTCACAATTAACGTGGAAAAATCGGAGCTTACTCCCTCTCAGTCGGTCCAGTTGCTGGGTTTCGTGGTGGATTCGGTTCACACGCTTTTTGGCAAGTTTACGGATTTGGCGACCAAGGTCCTGATGTCTAAGGTCTACTCTTCGGGGATGCCTTCATGAAGATGTCGAACCGACACATTTCTATTTTTACATCTCTAAACTAGACATGGATGTCTCTCAGACCGTGTCCGGATTCCGGTTCAATTTTGTCAAACCTCTGAGACAGGTCACTGCTCCGCAGCCGATATGTATGGCCAAAGAGGCATTCGATCTGGTTCATTCATAAAATGCATTCCTGCTGGACGAGGGTGCAGTGGAGTGGGCGACAGGCCCACCTTGAGCAATATCTCCCTTGTATGGAGGAAGACAGGGGACTTCCACTCTTTTATCAATCTGCATTCCCTCAATGCATAGGTCATCTATTGACATTTCAAGATGGAGGGCATCCATCTCCTCAGTGACTTGCTCTGCGAGGGCGATTGGTTCTCTCGACTGGATCTGAGGCAAGCCTACCACATGGTCCTGATCCATCCACTTTGGAGGAGTCAACCGTGGTTCCCTCTCTTGCTGGAGTTGTCGTGTGAAGATCATCTATTACTCACTGTCTCTAGGTGTCTCCAACGGGATCTGCAAGGCAATCCACATCTATTGATATTAGAGGATCACCTAATGCTAGTGGCATGGGCCGTTTCCGGGGTTCCTGGGATGTGTCAGGCCTATTGACAACAGTTAGAGAGTTACTCCGGAACTCTTGGGCACCTGACACCAAACGATCATACCTGCACACCTGATGATCCTGGCATGGCTGGTGTCTGGAGAGTGGTTTGGATCCCTTTACGGCCCCTATCATGGCAGTCCTAAACTTCCTAGCTGAATTGTTTTCTCAGGGTAAGTTGTATAGGACCATTAATGTCTTTCGGTCAGTTAGCTCGACGGCTCATGTGCCTTCTCAGGACTCTGTCATTGGAAAAGACCCCTCGGTCTGCAGACTACTCCGAGGTCTATGCCTTTCGAGATTTCTACCTCTCGCTATTCCTCATTTTGGGATGTATCGTTTGTTTTGCAATTCCTTGAGGAATGGCCTGATAATGGGGATTTGTATTTGCGCCAGCTTTCCACTTAGCTGACTTTCCTATTATGCCTTGTATCTTTTTGTTGCGTTTCTGATGTTCGTGCTTTTGATGTAGAACTTTTCTCCTTTTTACCGGACGGTGTATCTGTTTCTATTTCATGCAGGACAAAATCGAATCCCTATTCTCCAGATAGGCCACGTCTATGTGTGGCACGTTAACTATGGACGTTTATATCCAGGACCTCATACTTTCGCCCTTCTGCTCATGGGCAGCTGTTGATTTCCTATGTACGACCATTTAGGGCTGTTCCTGCACCTACAATTGTTCATTATATTCTGTGGCTTCTCTCATCGGCTGGTGTGGCGAGTTCCATTGGGGCACATTCGTTTCTGGGCGCTGGTGCTTCAGCAGCTCTAGAAGCTGGATATTTCTCAGCGCCGCTGATTTGGTCTGGGTAATCGGTTTCCCATACTTTTTATTTCCATCCGCGATGTTTCTTCTGTTTTTATGACTGGGCGTTAAAATTGCAAATATAAAGCCTCCTGACTTGCCATAAAATTAGGGATTATTCTAGCCTCGGTGAGGGGGTATTGTTATGTTTTTGTAATGTATGGTCTCATGTTTGTATAATAAATATTCTTTCTATTATACAGTTTTGGTTGTCCGTGTGCATTTATTCATCATGTTGAAGTAATGTTGTATGTGGTATGACACACTGCCTTGGCAGTTTACTTTCACAGTGTTTCTTTTTCCTTGCAGTGTAATACGGTTTCTTCTCTAGATGTGCCTGCTACAAGTTGGTTTAGTTTTGGTTTCACGCTCTCCTGCTCAACCTCATCAAAGAAAGAGGAAGTGGGAGGGTCTGCCTGAGGGATATTATACTGCTGTTATATTGTTCTGATTGGATGTTTGGAAAAATTATGTTAACTATTTCTTTGCTGCTGGAGGCTTTCAGTAAAGAAGGTGAAGCAAATATTCACCTTCTATCTTTAAAGGGATACTCCAGGCACCCAGACTATTATGCCCATTGGAGTGGTCTGGGTGCCAACTCCTACTACCCTTAAAGGGACTCTCGAGTGTCACTGCAGGTCCCCTCTCCCTCCCACCCCCCATCCCAGGTTGCTGAAGACATTATGGGAGGAGGAGGGTAGTATAGAGGCAGCAGGAGAGATACTATAGGAGAAAAGAGTAATATGAAGGCAGAAGGTAGATACTGATAGTGATAAAGAATGATGTCACCAAGTGCCAGACTGAGGGCAGGGCTCTAGATAGAGGCATAAGGCTGGCAACCTGCCTATGAAGCCCTGGGGGATCTTAATGTGGCTAATCCAAGTAAGACAATGTCGCTATCCTGAGCCTAATGTCATTATTTCTGGATAAAGGCATTACATACCAGCCACTGTGATCAGACTAGAATGGATTAGTGGCAGGTGGATTAGCGGCATGGATTTAATACAGCAATAACTTAACCTGTAAAGTGTAAAATATTCTTTATTTAGGATGAGAAATCATGTGAGTGATGTTCACTTAGTTATAAAAATTAATCTGAATAGCTATATTGTGAAGTAAATACATTTCTAAATGAGTCACTTTATTGAACTTGTTGCAAATTCAACCTTGACAGGAAAATTTATTTCAAGAACATTTTCATCAAAAGACGAGTGATGGAAGTGCCACTGACCCAGGTGTCCAGATCAACAAGAACTTTGCTTGAAGCGAATTTAAGATGTCCTTATGCACAGAGAAAGCCTGTTCTTTTAAAGGACATCTCCAGACCATCTGGGAAACAAATGGTGAGCTCTTGCCCAGATGTCTTTTGCAGCCAACAGATGCTGCATACTTTAGAGTAAGGAAAGATCAAGGCTTGTTTTGTCACAGATATTGAGAAACGTATGTGCACTTCTACACTTACATAATATCTTGTATATTGTTAAACTATGTATATTGTTCAGCTTTCTAAAGCCATATTTATTTTGCATATATATGTCTGCATATTACAGATGATCTTTGATGTGCATCACAGGGGTTCTAAAAATCCATATCCTTTCTCTGCAGTGTATTCATCCCCTGCTCTGCCTGCCATGGAGTCACACAGCGATGTGCATTTTAAGTAACATTCAATATAAACTTTGTAGACATGCACTCATTTGCATTTTACAGTCACACCGTGTTTTTGATGGAGAGCGGATTAATCAAAATATATTTGCCTGTCAAAAATCATAAACAAAATAGTTGCTTTATCCATCAAAATGCGTCTTGTATTTATTGAGGAGTCAAAAGTGCCCAGCTTCAGTTTTCAAGTACCCCCAACCGTGCAACTTCTCAATAGCTTCTCAACCATTGCAGGTTGATTAATCAACGGGTGCGGGATTTTGACAGCTCCACCTGTGCTCACATGAGACTCTACATGTGCATTGCTGGAGAGCTACGGTTTGGAGCCCCTCTCATACTGTGTTTACATACTGCATTTAGATATTTTATTTACGGTAACTTTATGGGTCAATTCACCAAAGTTCAATGTCATATTTTTATTTTATTTTTAAGTTATTTGGAGCATTTGTTATGTAATATTTTTAAGATCAAATTCAACTAGAAACTAGTAAAATTGCCTGGAGTTAATATTTAGAGTATACAATAGCATGTAAAATATAGACAAGTATAATTTAGACTAAAAACAGACGATATATAGCAGCAAGTAATATATAAAGTAAAATAAGGCCAGTAGTGGGGATACTGAAAAAAACATAAGAAACATTAAAAACAAGAATATAAAAATACAAAGATGTTAAATAAATTAGGATTTTAATAAGAAAATAGCAAAAAGACTGAAATAGAGATTATAATAAAAAAAACAATATATAAATACAATAAAAAATCTTGGATAAAAAGCATGTCTTTAAAAAGAGTCCACAATGTTCATAAAAATATAGAAATATAGGAAACAGCGCTAGGAAAACCAAACTAGAGGAATGGAATAAAAAGGGGCAGCAAACATAAAATAGGGTTCCCTCAATACCCTACTGGCAATAACAATACACAAGATAGAGCGATAAAGGTTGCGCCCGAGAAAAAGAACGTATAAAAACACTTAGATAAATGTATATACACACAAGTCCAATATAATGGCCAGGGTAGGTGGTCACGGGTGGACAGCACAAAATTAAGTCCGAATGGGAAACCTTGCCAAAGGGATATTCCCCAGTCTTTAGGGAAATGTCTTTTGTAGGAGTGGGGTAATAGTTCTTGGAGTCCGTATGTGGGAACAAAAGAAAAATAATAGTGCAATAAATCCTATACAAAATGGTATATTATAAAATGTCGGATCTAATGTAGTCCTAATCACGTGAAAAGTTGTCGACCATAAAAGGGTTAAAAAGGAT